GTATGTGACAACCTTGGGAATCACAGGCACTGTGTGAAGGACACCAGGACCCAGAGGTGACGTGTGGTCTGTGACATTCTCAAAAACATAGAAATGTAGGGTCAGAAAACAGGTCGGTGGTCACTAGACACCTGTGGGAAAGGGGTGACCCTAAAGGGCTAGCGGGCGGGAGTTCTGGGCGTAATGGAATGGCCTGTATCCTGATTGCTGCGTGGTTACACGAATCTACACGTGCTAAAATTCATAGCATCAAATGGCACAATAAAAATTCAGTTTTCCGTATGATCATTAAAAAAACAAAAAAGCGGTCACTGCTTCTGCTGGCAGGTGGCGCCCTGAAGAGTGGTTCCTGGACGTTGCTGTGGGGTCTGATAGAACCTGTTCCCAAGGCCCCAGCACTGGGGGTTGCACTGTTTTCTCTGTGGTGACGTAAAACATACCCTCGAGGCTTCACTTGGGGATTTGTTAATTGTGATGGTAGCTTTGTTCTGTGTGGTTATTGTTTCTTCTATGGTTTCTGCTATGGTTTGAGTGTTCGTCTCCTTCAGAACACATATTGAAATTTAATTGCTATTGGGCCGGCCCGTGGCTCACTCGGGAGAGCGTGGTGCTGACAACACCAAGTCAAGGGTTAAGATCCCCTTACCGGTCATCTTTAAAAAAGAAAAGAAATTTAATTGCTATTGTCACATTATTAAGAGGGGGGACCTCTGAGAGGGGATGAGGCCGTGAGGGCTTCACCCTCACAGGTGGGATTGGTGTCATCATAAAAGGGACAATNAATTGCTATTGTCACATTATTAAGAGGGGGGACCTCTGAGAGAGGATGAGGCCGTGAGGGCTTCACCCTCACAGGTGGGATTGGTGTCATCATAAAAGGGACAATTCGGCCCCTTTCACCCTTTCACCTTATGCGGGGGGATGACACAGCAGGAAGGCCCTTGGCAGATGCCAGCACCTCAACTTTGGACTTCCCGGCCTCCGGAACCGTGAGCCAGTACATTTCTATTCTTTATACGTTACCCAGTCTCAGGCATTCTGTTATAGCAGCACAAATAGGACAAAGACATTTTCTGAAATGGAGTCCCTGAAAACCAGAGTTGATAGTTTCTAGGTGTTGACAACTTACGAGTTGGGAGACAGAGTAGACTCAGGGCTGGGAGAGACCCCAGAGGCCACACCCCCAGATATCATGTAGGAAGAAACGGAGGCTGAAGGATTCGGTGGTTGCCACCCAACATCCAGCTGGGATCCAAGTGTGAACCAAATCATTCTTCGCTGAGTAACCACCGTGCAAGAGCCACCAAGCACTGGGCACACGTGGGGCTGGGCACCCCCAGCTGCCCAGGTGTCCTCACATTACCCCAAGCACCCCCTGTCTCAGTCTATGCTCTAAATTCCACAAGCTGGGCCGGCCCCGTGGCGCACTCATGGGAGTGCAGCGCTTGGGAGCGCAGCAGCGCTCCTGCCGCAGGTTCGGATCCTATATAGGGATGGCCGGTGCGCTCACTGGCTGAGCGTGGTGCGGGCAACACCTAGCCAAGGGTTGTGATCCCCTTACCGGTCACAAAAAAGACAAAAAAAAAAAAAATTCCACAAGCTTGCACCTTGGACAAGTGCCATATATCAGCCAAATTGGTCCTGGGCTTGGGTCATTTCCCCATTGACCCCCCCTCTGCCTAGGGGCCTCCCAAGGAGCTGTCTCCTGCAGCCCCTCAAGGTCACTGCCTGTCCTGTGGCTCCTCCTCTAATCCTCTCTTCCTGCCCCTCTGGCACCCGTCCAGTGTGGGCACCTCTCACAGTGCCCCACCTCTTCAGGCTTCTCTTCCCCTCCAAGTTTCCCCAGCCCTGGGGATCTTCTCCGGCAGGACACCAGCTCTGCTGTGAGGTTTTGCACTTAATTTTTTTTTTTTTTTT